GAATCCACATCTTTTAAGGCCCTTCGAGAATTTGACTACCGACGCAGAGCCGAAATCTGTCGACCACTTCGTGACACGAGATGCCAAGCTTTGAGTCGCTCTTAGCAAGTCATGCCGCTCCATGCGGGCGGCAAACAACATTTTCATGAGCACCTTGAAGTCTGCCTTTAGGTTCCCCCGTGTCTACGACAGGTCTCGACACCTTCGCTCCGATAAACGGGGTGGAATACTTGCCTCATGAGGACACGCCAACCGCTGCAAGCCGGCAGCGCGCAGCTGCGCGTGACAGCCGCCTGTCGCTCATCAGGTTGCTGCGGTTCTTTCAGCGGGTGTCCAAGGCAGGAAATCTGGTCCGGCCGCAGCCGTGAGGGCATCCTCATCCATGATATCTTCTGCTACAAGCCTACCCGTGGCACGGCCACCTGAGACGCGGTGAAAGGTCCCAAGCGCATGTTGGAAGCGCTGGGCGAATGGCACCACACGGCGCAGGACGACCGCAAGGCAGGCTATTCTGATTTTCATACACTCAGCGACAACTAGTTCCTTTCACACGGGACAGAACATCGGGTCAAGGCATATCTTTCGGACTTTGAATGGGCTGCAAATGATGCCTGATCCATGTTTTGCCATCCTGCATCGAGCGCGCGCGTGTTGCGTGTCTAGGCAATTTTACACTGTTGGTCTCGATACGTTGGCGCCCGAAATACCTACCAAAAGGTTCCGGCAAGTAACGTTAAGGCCACAACCCTCTCAAGGTTTCCGGCGTCCTGCGAGCTTCAAGTCATCGAAGGGTTTTGGGGAGGCATCCAGCGGTGGGAGGCGATCCAACAGGCCGAACTGGACTACGTGCGAGGAAGATTGCGGATGAATACAACAAGACCTTCACAAACTTAGGTAAAATCCTTCGAGGCTGCGGCACTGAGAACCGAGGAAACTGCGATGATGAAGATGGCTATTTGGACCTCGAGGAGCTCGAGGAGCAACGGTGTCCCATTCCCAAGAGAGGCTAAAAGACTCTAATTTTCGCCTTCGCGAAAGAGACTCTAATGTATGTCGGGCTGTTTTGAATGTTCTCATGATTGCTGGTTTCGTGACATTTGCGACCGCGCGCGGGCCGCATTTGCATCGCGCTACCCCATAGAAAAGCAGTTCAGGGCAGCTTTGCCCTGGGCATGCGCCGGCTTCAACGTGTGATTACATGGCTCAAGACGCATTGGGCCAAAGGTCCGTTGCAACCCAAGACACATCCAGGTTAGTTGGCTGATTCGCTGCGCTTACCGAGTGTATGGCTGCGCAAACGGTCAATGTGAGTTCACCGTTAGCATGTGCGATCTGCCAAGAGGGATTCCGAGGGTTCCCCTATATGTGCCAAGGGTTTGGAAACACATAACTGACCGTGCTTGCTTGCGCAGTGAGGCGATCTCACGGGGCCCGCAACGAGAAGGGGAAATTTTAAGTGTTCGAATTTTGTTTTGTTGCGTCGGGCTTGCCCAAGAAGACGTCAGTCCTTGTCACAGGGCCATTGCAGGAAAACACTTTCAGAACGGATCTACAAAGCCCCTAATATACGATGTATCTTTCTCTGCACTTGTGGGACGCAGAATGCTAGGGAACAGTATTGACAAGTCTGGACATTCAGTTGATCATGCTATTGGGCGGCGATTCGTCTCTCGACCTTGAAAAAGTGGTTTTCCGGGCATTTTGTTTTCTCACGAGTTTTGCGCTTGCAGGATTCCACGTCGACTTGTGCGCATTTCACGGAATCTAGGTTTTTCGCAGCCATTGAGTGATTTCACGGCCAAAAGAAATCCTGACAGAACCCCACGCAGTCTGTCAGCCGGTGGTCAATTCAGACCTGCAAGGGCCTGCGCAGGACACGCGCGAGCGATTTTTACGGCTCGCGCGCCGCCGCCCCGCGTTCCGGAACGATTTTCTTGGCAAGATTACCTGCAATCAAAACCCGCAGGAGAAGCCAAACATAAAGAAAGCCGGGGTGCTCCTGGAAATCAATTTCCTCTTCTTTGAGATGCCCGCAAGCACACCCTTAGTCAGCAGTGGCTTGCAGCGATCGTCCCAGGCGCGCTTCGCAAATTGCTGGTGTCAAGTTCACGTGGCTCTTGTGCCTCAAGCTCTCAAGTTTCAGAGGCCATCTCTGGGATTGTGGTTGGCCGATTTTGGGCGTGAACTCATGAAATTTCAGAACTGGCGCCCCCCGATTTTGTTTTTAGGCTTGTTGTGCTTTTTTCTTTCTTTCTTTTTTGGGGGGGGGCGCGTGAACTTTCGTGAACTTGCGTGAAAAAGACTCTAAACTACGGTGTTTTGGCGTGAACTTGCGTGAACTTTCGTGAACCTTGGAATTCGCATGTTCGTTTGTTAAAAAAGACCTTTCGCGGCCAGCTGCGGGGGTTTCGCGGCCAATTTCCGGATATTCGCGGAATTGTGCGGCCATTTCTGCTCGCGCCCATGGCTTCACCCATTTCGCGGCCATGTGTTAAAACGGCGCACGCCCCCGTAAAAGACGTTTGTTCGCATGTCCAAGTTAACCCTTTGAAGCCTTCCACTCTCTTACATTCGTTCGGCCCGAATTCGCGCAAATGCTTCAACGCGATTCTGACCTGTCCACGCATCTGTGAGGGGTTTGGAGTTGAAACTTCGTGAGTTAAACCCGTCCAGCGTGCGAACCCTTGAAAACCTCAATCGGCCGTGAAACCCGTTTCTAGAGATGAATGATTGCCCAATCGTGAGCAAATGAATAATCACCGGGAATTGCGTAGCAATCCCTTGTTTTGAGCTGCGCCTTTTCGCAGAGTGAGAGTGGAAGGATTAGAAAAAGCGCCGACGGCCTGGGCGCTATCCAAGAAACAATGCGAGAGTTGTGATGGTTAGCGCCAAGAATCAAGTAACCTAAGCCTTCGCGAGTACTTGATGATAGTGGGAAAAGAGGAAACGCATTGAGGACAATTGCTGAAAATACAAAAGCATCTGGTGCCGAAACGCTCCCAAAAGGCTGCGCCACTTGCGGGTTATAATCTAACGGCAAATAGGCGGGCGAGTTGCTTCAGAAATCTTTGGAATGTCCGCGCGCCATTCTTTCTTAGGATTGGGTCGGTTGATCCCAAGGCGCGCAAGCTATCAGGGCAGGTGTGCGAACTAACCTCCCTCCACCTCTCTCGCCCCCCCCTCCCTCCTGCCTGTTCTCGTTTTGTTGGCTGCCAAGGTCGCGCTTTAAAGGCATACTTGCGTCGCTCGCTTGCGCTCACAGCTTTGCACTCATGCAACTGAACTCGGCGCGCCCTATTCGACACTGCGTTCTCTACAAAGAAATAGATCCAGCTTGACAAGTGTTTGGCCTTGGAAATTGCATGACGTCATCTTGCGTCGGCGCAGCCGATTGCGGCCTAAACTGTCATTGCGCCGCGGCTCGGCTGAGATTTTTTGGAACCCAGCTGGCCCATCCATTACGCACAGCCGCCGAATAACGACCCTTTGGCGCAATCTGCAAGATCCCAAGAGTTTGGTAGCTCTAAACTATGTAGTTTAGTGTCTTTTAGCCTCTCTTGGTCCCTGGAATGACGCCGATCATCTTGGAAATGGTCAATCTCGACAGAAAGCTGCGCCTCATTGCAAGGGATGCACAAGCGCCGGTCCGTGCTGCGACGTTCCCGCCAGGCATTGGATCTTCAAGGGCAAGGCGGGCGAAGGTCAGTGATTGGCTTGCCGACATTATTGGTGACAATGGGATTGCAACAGACTGGTTCATCAACCAGGGCAGCGAGCGGCCTTGTGCCTTGCGCATCAACGCGTTGCCGCCTACAATCCTGCCTCACTACACTGACCAGCAAAATTTCCAGAGTGTCGTAAGGAGCGGCCAACTTCTTGGCAGTGGTGATCGTGTGTCCTCTGCGCGTCCGCATGTGTTGTTTGCAGGCAAGCGCGCAAAGACAATCGCCGCCTAAAGATCCAGATCGCATCAAGGCGAGCGATGGCATCCTGATGCGAAAAACAAGGTGCCTAACTTCACCATCTGAAGCTTGGCACACCCGCGCTGAGCCATCGGACGCGAAGCAGAAGTCCGTTGAAAAAAGGACCCGGCGCGTCGCGAGATCAAGCCCGGCTGGATGACCGAGGTGGAGAAGATCGCGGCTACATGGACCACTATCTCTTCTCCACACTCCTCGCAAGGGGAAGCTAAGTGTCAGAAGACAGCGGCGCTGTTGTCAAAGGGCAGATCAATCGCAACGCGCGTGGTGTTCGCCTTTGAAGACGCGGCTTCGCAAGGAGCAGAATTCCTCGCAAAGAGGGGGTAACTTCCTCAAGAAGATGGTTCTCGGTGCTCCAGTGACAGCTGAAGTGTTCGCAAGGAGGATCGGATGGAGATCATTCGCGGCATCACCTTGTCCGACAGCTACCCCGGAGGCCAAGGTGAAGTTCAAGTCAGCCACGAAAAGCTGCTACCGCTTGATGGGCAGGCACGAACTTGACTTTCAATATCGTACCCGTTTGGCGCAGCGTCCTCTTGTGGCTCGGAGTGCTACGGCAGATTTCTTGCCGGCTCCTCTGTGCGACGAACTTACTTGCAAGTGGATCATTATGTGGCACGGGGGGGGGTTTTCACCGACCTGGTGCTGGGCAAGCTGCGGCAGTTCTGGCATGGCACGGGCTGGTCACTTTGCGCGGAATATCCAAAGATGCCATCAAGAAGGACTGGGCTGGACATTCATCCGACTGAGCGCCTCGGTGGGAGCGGTTGAGTTCTCCAAGAGCGAATGCATCAATCGCCTTGCAAGGAATGCCGATACGGCAGCTGCAAAAGCTTCGTCTCACGCCGCCGGATGGTGGAGTGGCTGGAGCAACTGGGGGCATTCCGTATGGTGGGAGCACTCGTCATGAATGAGTGTTTCTGTTTGGCTGCTTTGCAAAAAGGCCCCTCGTACACTCATAGGAGTTGAAGAACACGCAGGGCGTTTGACGGCGTTCTGGGGTGCTCTTGGCCCACCAAGGAACGCCTTCGGCAAACTGCCAGGACTGCCGCCGCGCCGAAGATGTCCGCGGGCATGCCCGAATTGCTGAACAGGTCGCAAGGAGTCTCTTTTCTCTCCAACTCCTTTGATAACATGACCCAATTCAAACTGAGGTTCATTGTGGCGAGTTGACGTTCAAGGGCAGCTGTGGGAAACCACGTTTTCTGTGCAAATCCCTGTTCATGCCGTTCTTTGCAAGCCGGAACGTGCGACTGACGTCAGCTAAAAACGGTTCCCGCACTAGGGCAAGCAGGGTTCCGTCAAAACGTTTTTGCTTGCTAAGTGTCCTGTGTCCTCGCGGATGTTTCACCTCAAGCAAACTACCTCATCCCGGTAGCGTCCTTTAGCGGCAGCTAGGTGTCGTAGCTGCGGTGTCCACCGTGTAGTGATGTTTTCGACTTCTTGTGCTCAGCCTAATCGGCAGCTGCTGGTGGATGCCGATCCCAGCAGTTCAAGAAGGGAAAGGATGAGGATTGCTACGAAGGTGGGGGTCAAAACGTGCCCCGCTCTTGGTACTATGCGGTTGTCAGGAAATGTTTGTAATTAGAAACTGGCTACACTGTTGTTGTGGAACGGGCATGTTCAATCATACTCCATGATGGGAAGATGACCGATCCTTGGGTGAATTTTGTTCAGCGTCATCCATGGTAGTGGCTGGCCCAGTTTTTCCTCTACCGCTCCGAAGTGGGACACACAGGCATGGCATGTGCTTAGCTGGGTTTAAGGTAACTCCAGTGCCCTGGCTGTTTGCAGCCAACTTGGGACGCCAAACTTGCGCTAGACTCCAATCGACTGCGGGGTAGGTGGGTCACACAGGCTAAAGGTCCCTCCCCCATTCCCAAGTCCCAAACCTGGCGGGAAGTGTCCACTATGGAAACGGTGCTCTGTGTGGCCCTGGGTCTATTTCAAGACGATCCGTGTATGCTCTTGTAGATACTAACTATGGCGTACGTGAGTGAAACGTCTGACTGATGAAAGTTGGAAGGGCCCTTCAGCCAATGTTGCGGAGCTAGATTGTGCGGGGTTCAACGAGTGTTAAAATTAATGGACCGGATAACCCCACATGGCTCTCTGGTGGCCATGCGATAATGACTGAGTGAGTGAGTGAGTGGCCACGGGGTAGCGCTCGGTCACTACTACGGTGGTCTCTTCTTTTTGCTCGCGAGGCAGAGTCAGGCGCTAGATTATTGACGGCGTCCTCTTCTTCAGCGAGCGCGACTCCGTTGCCAGCTGCAATGCGCGCGAGGTGGCAAGCATAGCATGCGTCAACCGCATCTGCGCAACTGCGCGATCTTGTTTTGACTGTGCTGGCTGGCTGGCTGGCTGGCTGCTTGAGTGGCCGTCCGTGCCCACAACAGCAGCTGAGGCGGAGTGCATGGCGCGCAGTGCGTCCTTCACCGTCTGCGGGACAGCAGCTTCTTTCAAGAACTCATCCATGCCAGCGTCCGGGCAGCGCTGGCAAGGTCTTCTGCTGAAGGCCATGCCGCTATTCTTCAAGAAGTGGCACGAGGCAGCGCGTTGAGGCAGCGCGTTGGTCCGTGAGACGAGCCACAGTTGCCATCATGTGCAGCGCTACCCAGAAGCGATGATACGCGGGCTGGTGCCTTGCTCCAGGTCGCGCTGCCTCCTGCTCTTGCTCGACACTGGCCCACCAGCTGATCAAGCAGTGGGAGGAGGCACAGCCACCGCGTAGGCGAAGGAAGCGGCGCTTCGCACTGCTTCCATCCATGTATCACCCACAACTCCTGGGCTTGGAGTTTCTCAAACTAACAGCTCAGCAAGGCAAAGCAGGCAGCGCTCTTGCAGCAGCACTCGCCGCACACAGCTTGCCTGGAACCTTCTCTGTGGTGTCTGCGTGGACTGGAACCTGGCGGCGGCAAGGCTTCAGCACCGCGCTGACGCAAAGAAGCTTGGCAGTTGCTGAACTTCAGCGTGTCACGCCGGCAAAGGTCAGCGCAAGATAGAAGTCTGAAAAAAGGAGATGTAGCTCAGCCTAGCTTTCCGGTGAGCCCGGAAGCCATTCGCGCTCGTTGCTGGAACAAACCGCTGCCGCAGCAAGCTTGCAGCTTTCACGGAACAGCTCGCAGCTGTTGACTTTGGCCTGCAAGTCTGGCCAGGGCTGTGTAGTTCTGAAGCGTCGAAGCGGCGGCGGCCAACCAGCTCAACTTGGCGCATTGCGTGATGAATGTCCTTGCGCGTGCTTCTCTTTCTCCTCCTTCTGCCTGCCCCTTAGCAGCGGAACGCCCCTGTTGCAGCTGGGTGTCGCCTGGCTTGTGCTTCTTGCTAGCGTCTTGCTGCGGCCAACTCTGCCGTTCTTCGACGGGGCTTGGACCATGCTCGTGATTGCCCCCAGGCACGCGTAGGCTTTTCCGGCAACATCTCGTCTTAATGTTTGCTACGCTTCCCCAACCAGTCAGCGGGACTTTCTTTAGTCAAAATCCTGGCGGTCTGGGTGGGGCTTGGACTTGCTAGCGCGTTCTTTAGATTGTCAAGACTAGATTTATTATTGCCGAGACTTGCTCTCAGATTTCCTGCAATGCCACGAGTTTGACAACACGCAAGGAGGCGTAAGCTTATCAAAGCGAGGTGCTCTGCGCATATCGCTCAAAATTGCACTCGGGTGAAAGTATCAGGACGCTGCTGAAAACATGCAAGTTAGAAAGCACGCGGTATGTGTTTCGAAGTCCAGTGTAAACCTTGCCAACTCAGCCAGCAATTACCAGATTGGTTGGCGGTTCTTTTGCCATTCGCGCTGGTGCTATTGTACAGTGAAAAGAATACCGGGGCAGCGCGTCCTGCGCACCCTTCAACCAAGGTTCTTACTAAGTTTCATCTGAAAAGCATCACCCTTCACAATGGAAACTCACAGGCTAAATGGGCCCTGGTTTGGGTAATGTTTGAAGCCCCTCAACACGGCTTTTGAAACTAATTTGGCAACCGATCACACCGGCATGTGTGGGATATTCTTCGATATGTTCAAGAATGAGTGGGCCGGTCATGTTGCATTGAATTCACCACAACACCCCATGTACGGACTCCATTCAATGAGCTTCAGCCCAGTTTTGCTGTCTCATATCATATCAGTCAATGTGCTGCACATGGGGTGCATCTGGTATTCAACGTGTTGGCCCGCAGAGCTCTGTCAAAATGCGTGGCTTTTACTCATTGGTTTCCACGACTCCTTTTACTTCTTTTTTTTCCACCATATTCAAGTATCCCCAGAAAACGGAAAGTATAGTCCTGTACAACCGCCCTAAACGAATGGGACTGTGGGTCATGTTGTCATGACTCCCTCCAATTTGCTTGCTAACGATCCTGACTCCAAGGAGGACTGCCATTCCTATGGACCAAAGTAGGGTTCTTTGAGAACCACCACAAGGATGCTGCAGAGCTTGAGCTAGGGTTAAATCCTGATTACCTTAGAGCGAACTACCCTCCAGCATACGTGGAACGTGACGAGTGTCCCCCCAAGACCATTCTCCCGCTCACAGGAACGCGCAACCTCCATGTTTGCTGGGATTTTCTCCCGTTTTGTGCTGGTTTTCCGGGATTTTGTGTCTTGGAACTGGCAGGTTCGATCTCCTTTCTTTCTGTTTGGTTTGACTCGTTTTGCACCAACGCTGTCAACATCCCCGCAATCGTTTTAGCTCGGCAGCATCCTTTTCAACGTCCTCAGCATCACGACAAGGTTGGCTAGGGCCAGGTTTGGTTCAGGGTGGTTTCCAGGCAAAGTTTGGGGGTGGCTGTTTAGGGTGCATTTAGTGGGTGGGGGGGGGGGGGGGGGTGGTGTAGGGCGGACTTAGGCTTAGGAGGGTAGGGGGTTTAGAGTTGGTTTAGGGTAGGCAGGTTTTGAATTGGTTTAGGGATGCAGAAACCGGGAGGCACGAAGCCACCAACCAGAAAACAAAAAACCAAATGCCGGCGACATTGGGGTGTTACTGGTGGTGCTGAGGATGCCGGAAGGCCGAAGCCACAAAAAAGGTAAAGCCAAAAAGTCGACAGTAAAAAAGCCAAAAGCCAATCAGCCAAGAAGCCAGGAAGGCCCAGACTCCAAGAAGCCACAGGCCTAAAAGCCAAGAAACTAAGAAGCCAGATAAGGAAAAATCCAGCAGAAACTCCTAAAGAAAAACGGGAAAAGTTCACACCAAATAGCCCTCCATTAAGGACTCCCGGTTTTCCCAGCCGACTGCCGGCCAATACTACTTTAAAGGCACACAAGGTTTGGCCACACCCGTCTTTTTTTTTGAAAACTCCCTCTGACTAAAAACGTCCCTTTCCCGCACAAAGTTCTACAAAACACAGGTTTGACGAGCTTGGACAGGGTACCCCCTTCAAGGCTGGTCCCGCGAATAACACGAACCCAATCCTGAAAGGACTGGCCAGGTCAAGCCAACATCTACAATCAGGTTCCCCCTTTTAGGTCACAAGTGGTTTGCAGAATGGCTGAGTGCGTGCTTGCAAAGACAAAAAAGCAAGAACAAATCGCAGCGGATTAACCTATGATGAACCGATCTCTGCTATGATACTGTCACGGTCGCCCTTGTTGCTGGCTTCACACCTGCTGATATCCACTTGCTGCGTGGCGTCTTTTTTCTTCTTCAACTATTTGTTTATTCTTGAGTCTCTCGCCGTGGCACTTCAATGCGAATCGTCTGCTGCTGCTTGCGCGCCAAGTAGAGCTCGAAACAGCAGGAGCGCTTGGGAAGTTTGACGTTCCAGTCCACAGCCAACAAGACTTGTTCTGCTTGATTCAAGCCACGAGCAAATGGAGAGCAACTCGGTTGCCAACACCTGGCACGGTGGTCCATGATCGAACTGGAAATGCCCACACTTGCTGGTAGTGGCCGTACCGTTGCGTGAAACAACATGTATGCGTGTTGCAAAACAACTGAACTTCACGGGCGCTTGTGCTTTCGTGTCCGGCAAGCAACGACCATGCTTGGGTCCAACAAGGGGTGCCAAAAGAGCAACACAAGTTGGTCATGAAACAATTGCAATTTCAACCCATGGCCACTCCAGTAAACGTGAAGGGCCAAGGCTTAAGTTTTCTTCGGTCTTGCAGTCCGCAAGTGCTGTTGCTCGGAAGTGCAATTTCGACCGGGCTTGCGCTTCGACCAAGCGCAGCTGTGACCCTCGTTTTCGAAATCGTTTGTTTCCCGCACATCCTGTCTCGGAGGCACGCAAGGCCCAACGGAAAGCCAAAGCAACCGAAGAAAACCTTGAAGGAAACCCTAACTCTTAAACGATTTAGTCGACGGGAACATACCCCTAAAGAAAGGTCCATTGAGCGATTGCCCGGGGTGAACTCCTGAACGAAACTCTAAAGGAAGGGTCTAACCTCTAAAGGAAGGGCGCCCAACAAAAACCCTTGAGCAGCTGCAATCTTGGGCTCTTACAGGTTCCAGGGCCAACTCCCATGGAAAATCCCGATCAATGGGGGCAAGTGCTCCTCGGCGCGCCTTTTTGTTCAGTGTAATTTTTGGACCCCCGATTGGAGTTGGGCCCTCGGTTGTAGCATGTGTTTTTCGCAATTCAGGTGCCTGTGGCTGTTTTGGGGTCCTTCATTGTGGCAACTGTCTTTACCGGAATATCCGGGCAAACAAACTTGGCAAACACTTCGAGGAAAAACGGGCAAACAAGTCCGGGCAGACATGGAGAAACCTTGCTTCTTCAAACCATCACATTTAAGATAACTTCTTTACAAAGAAGTACGGGCAAACCGTCGCGCAAAGGGGGTTGCCCACAAGAGGCCTTGATCCTCCCTAATGTGACTGTTTTGGGGTTGTCTTTGATGTCCAACTTGTTTTGGTAGCGGAAACTCCTACACTAAAGCCTTAGCCTTTTTTCATTTATGGTGGTTCACCTGTCCAAACTCTTCCCAGCTCAAAGGGTAAAGGTTTGCATGTTCAGTCATTTACGGGAAGGTGCCACAAACACTTATGCTCCGCGTCCCAATTCTTGTGACAACGGAAATGCGTCGTTCCACATTTGCCAGAACTGCCTGCAAGGCGCAACTTGGCCACAACCCAGCCAAGTTCTGTGCGGGCCAGGACAAGAGGACGGGCCCAGCTTTGCCGAAATGGTCCAGCAGTCCAGCTGTGGCTTGCTGCTGATGGCGCCATCAGGCAATTCCAGTTTTCTTGTGCGCGTTGAAGCGTTGGAGCGCTGGGACTATTTTCGCAGGTCCTGGAGGCTAAAGTTGACCCACGGTTTGGTACGGCGGGAGCTCGGCGAATTTGTCCCCACGCAATTGCCGAGGTGTGAGTGAAGAGAATCTTCTGTGAGTTCCTAACCTTTTCAAGGTTTGTTTTTGTGCTCCGTTCGGGGTCATATAACGCATGACCCATGGCAAGACTGCCGTTTGTTCCAACTTCATTTGAGGGTCGATGCCATCTTCTGGCCAAAAACATAGTGACCTGCTAAGAGGGGTTGAAACCTGAAGCCTCGCCCATGACAATGTTCTTTCGTCAGGACATGATGCGGTTGAATATGATTAAGTTCCATGGATTGTGTTGATGCTGCCAGCAGGATCTTGCACTACACTACAGATCTTACCCAGATGTCTGCCCGCGCAGACCACACCTCTCACTCTCTCCCAACCCCCGACACTGGTCGAGGGAACAGTTTGGCTAGCATGTGACCACGCAGCCAAGCTGGCTCATTTGCCGGTCTCTGGCCAGAAAGGCTGGCTTGCAAGCGGGGTTTGTCGTGATTTGCCATCCGTTCTCCAGTAGTGCCTCCTGTGATGTTTCACAACTAACTACTGTTTTGCGCTTCGGCTTCGAAGTGCCGTTTTAGTACCCTACCTTGATGGGACCCGATCATGACTGTGTGACAACATTCCGCATGTTTAGCAACGCTTTGAAGCATTCTACAGGGATCCTTCCATAGGGCGTTGACTGCCGCTCCTCGCTGCGGGCCGGTCTGGGCTGCGGCCTCGGCGAGACACGCCGCAGCTCGACTCGTGCCTGGCGCCGGCAATGGACGCTGGGCGATTGAACCAGCAGTCAGCGCGTAAGTTATGTGGCTTCCTGTAGATGGGGTTTTCACCGGCGCTGGGATCTTTGGCATTGCAACACATATTGGCTCCGCTTTGCGCAGCGTGTGAGTTCCGCTGTCGGACCCCAGCCGTTGTTCAAGCTTTTGTTGAGCCAAGATTGGCAAGAGTGTCAGTCCTTTCATCATACTTGGTTCAGAATGTTATGTTATCGTTGTTTGCCCGCAATTTGACACTTGCCGGCCGAGGGACATTATTATTGAACATGTGTACAGTGCCACGCGCAGAAGCATGAAGAAGCTTTTGCAGAAGGGGTCTCTTCGCGGAAGGTTCGGGGAAGCGTGTGATTTCACATGAACTGTTTCAGTGTGCGTTCCCTTGTACGCCAACACTCGCAGAAGCAACTATTACAAACTGTACGGTGCGGAAGGACGCGGAAGCAAACAATCAACAAAATATATTGCGGAGGTCCACAGAACTGTTTGGCCCGTGGCAGTGGCAAGGATGCGGAAGGGTTCTCGGAAGCTTGAGTACTTCCCAAGCAAGTGTGAAAGGAATAAACACTAGAAGGCAAAGCTTACATGAAGCAAACGCAAGAACGCACTGTGTGCTGGCCAGCTGAGAATCATTGTAGTCATGGGTTTCTTTGCTGGAGTAGAACCCCGCCCCTTTGCGATTGTGATTGTGATGTGTTCGCCGGACAACTTTGGAAAAGGACATTGAAGCTTGCACAAATGAGAGGCTGCCGCTTGTTGAATGCTCACCTGATGCAGCGATCTACCAGAAGTTTGATTTGTTCTATTTGCTTAGTTGGGGTTGACCTTGCCATGAGTCACTGGCTTTCAATACCACAGAGCCCATTTTGGCAGACCGCCTTTGCGCCATCCCTGTGTGATTGCAGCCTGCATCCATCAAGCCCTTGCCAACATGCTGGTTGTCCAACGCCAACGCATCCGAGCCAGCTCTGTGAGAACAACCCAAAAAGTGATTTGTTGTCTTGTTTGCTGCCAAGCAAGGCTGGTGTACGTTTACGACCACACCTAGGCAAAAGGAATGTTTTCGCATGGGCTGTGGAGAAAGGGAAAACGCGGCTCAACGTCCTGCGCATAGATTCCTAGTTGGTGGCTTGATGGTGCTGGCAGTATGACTGGAGCACGCTGTTCAGTATTATTACCGCCTTCTTGCCTCCAAGGCACAGGGCGCTCGTTTGGAAACGGTTGGTTTGCTCTTAGGTCAATTGAAATGATGAGCTCTCATGTCCGGGACGCGCCCAAAGCCTAACGCGTCCCTGCTTGCAAGGACCAGGATGCTTTTTCAGAGCTACTTGATGAGTCTCTATGGAGCTTCAGGAACCACCTCCTCGCTTCCTTCCCCGATCCAGATTCAGGACGGCCAGTTTGTGTGCGCCTAGCGACGCGCAACATGGACAACTCCCGTGTCGGGAAACGAGAAGCATCACTGGCCCGGCTTCAGGCCCTTGGAAGCAGACAGAGAGAGGGAGAGAGCAAAAGGTAGAGAGAGAGAGAGAAAAAAAGAGAGAGAGAGAGAGTGAGAGCGAGGGAGCCAGGGAGAGAGAAAGAAAGACATAATTCAAAAACCAAAGACACTTCTCTAGTCACGCCTTTGGTCACGTCATTTGTCACGTCTCTCGTAGCAACTCTGGCCACGTCTCTCGTCATGACTTTCGTCAAACCTTTCATCATGTGTGTCGCCGCGCCTCTCGTCACGACTCTGTCACGTCTCCCATCACGTCTTTCTTGGCGACTCCCGGTATGACATTTATCGCCATTTTGCGTCTCAAGTCACCTTGCCAGGTTTCTCGTAACAGCGTCTCTTGTCACGTCTTTCTTTTTTGTCCTTGGTCACGTCTCTTAGTCACGTCTCTGGTCACGTCCTTTGTCGCGTCTCACGTAACAACGTTTCTTGTCACATCTATCGTCACGTAGCTAGTCACGCTTTTGGTCACGTCCCTTGACAGGTCTCTTGTAACAACTCTGGCCACGTCTCTCGTCATGACTTTCATCACACCTTTCATCATCACATCTTTCATCACGTGTCTCGACACACCTCTCGTCGCGACTACGTAGCATCTCCCGTCACGTCTTTCTTGTCGCGCCGCGTCTCTGGTCACGTCTCTGGTCTCTTCTCACACGTCTCTTGTCATATTTGCCGTCCCGTCTCTGGTAACCTCTCGCGTCACGATCCTCGTCAAGTCTCTTGTCGCATCTCTCGTCACGTCTCTGGTCACGCCTTATCTTGCGTCTCGTCGCAACTCTCCTCGCACGTCTCTTGTCAAATCCATCACATCCATCGTCACGCCTCTGGTCACGTCTTTGGTCACGTCCTTTGTCACGTCTGTCGCAACAACTCTGGCCACGTCTCTCGTCGTGACTTTCATCTTATCTTTCATCACGTGTCTCGACGCTCCTCTTGTCACGACTACGTAGCATCACCCCTCGCATCACGTCTCCGGTCACGTCTCTGTCACGACCCTCGCCACGTCTCTTCTCAAACGTCTCTTCTCATATTTGCCATCCCGTCTCTGGTAACCTCTCGCGTCAGTCACGTCTCTTTGTCGCATCTCTCGCACACGTCTCTCATCGGCTCTCCTCTTCTCACAGCCATCGTCACACCTCTGGTCACGTCCCTTGTCACTTCTGTCGTACGTCACGACTGCGTCACATCTCCTGTCCTGCCTTGTCTTTCTCATGTCTCTAGCCACGACCCTACTCGCGTTTCGTGTCACACCCCTCGTCACGTGTTCCGTCGCGACTTCGCGATCTCAAAATGTGCTCCGCGCCACGGCGAAAGCGATTCAGCCCACGCAAAGTGTGCAAAGGGCTCGCTGTGCGATCTCAAAATGCGAATCGCACCACATCGAGATCGATTCGACCCACCCAAAGTGCGCACCACTTTGCGATCTCAAAATGTGCACCGCGCCAGGTCGAGAGCGACCCGACCCGCCCAAAGTGCGCAGAGGGTTCATTTTGCAATCGCACAATGTGAGCCGCACCACGAGGGTTCAGTTTGCCTGCTGCAAATGTGCATCGGGCCACAGCGAGAGCGATTCGATCCACCCAAAGTGCGCAGAGGGTTCACCTTGCGATCTCAAAATGCGTGCCGCGCCGCAGAGCGATTTGACCCACCCACAGTGATGCGCCTGCCACGAAATCTGCACGCAAGCTTGAAAATATTGCGCCTTCCACGAAATCTGCACGAAAAGCTCTAAAGTGATGCGCCTGCCACGAAATCTGCTCGAAAAGCTTCAAAGCGCCGCGCCTGTCACGAAAAATTACCTTGCAGCGACACGCAAAACGCTCAAAATGCTGCGCCTGCCGCGAAATCTGAATTTGACGCTCTCGCGCCGCATGCGGAAAACTAACCCGGGACTGTAGCGCCAGAATGATTTCGACCGATTTCTTTCAAATCTGAAGTCGTGAAAACGAGCCGATTGTACGACAGGGCTAACGAAAATGACACTCGAGGAAATGCTTGCGCGCGCATTCCAAGCAAAACACATCAAAACGACGACCCCTGAATCGAATCACAATGGATTTGCAACGCAAACAGGGACCCTCGCAAAACACTGCGCCTGCGCAGCGAAACGACATTGAGCGTGCCAAAAGCTACGATTCCCGCACAGGGCCACGAAAAATGGCGCGCTTCAAGTCATCCAGATGGCACGTTTTTCGCTTTCCCCTTGGAACTGCGACCGCGACACTTGCGAACACATGCGGACGCTTGCGGACGCTTGCGAACGTAAAACGCCTTCCCAAATGCGTAACAATATGCGTAAACATGCATTAAACACAGACAAACAATACATACTAAAAAAGGAAAAAGAAAACTCACACAGACATGCAGCACGCCTGTTGCATGTCAATGTGTGTTGAGTGGGTGTCCAGTCAGGCGAGCCACTTGGTGTTCACAACAGCCTCGATGTCCGGAATTTGGGCTGCGATCTCATCCCGCAAGGCAACTGCCAAGGCGCCTCAAGGCTGCAAAATGCCACAAGAAATAATGCTGATTTTCGGCAAGGTGCAAATCTCGCTGCGTCTCTCCATCATGGCCCGGGTGACTTTGACGCGCAGCTTTGGCGGGGCGGCGTTGTGGACACTGTTGCTGTACTCAAAGCACCGCGCCGCAGACTCAGCTGTGACAGCGCCGTGCTTCGCCCACTTGCCCTTTGTCTTCGCGCCCTTGAAGGCGGCGCCTGGCAAGATCTTCTTGCTGCTGAGATTGTCGTCCGAGTATGGGCTACCTCAGTTGGAGCAAGGAGCAAGGAGCCGCAGAAGAGGCGGCGTGCAAGGCAACGCATCTTGCCAAGAAGCTTGCCCACCCAACCTTGTTGACCATCCAGCGAAGCTTGTCCAGGCACTCGCTTGGCAGCTTCATGAGGTTGGTCACCGTCTGAAACTTGCTTCCCACCAAACGGTCCGACTTGGCCGAACTTTCATTCCATGACTTTATCACGCTGTCCGCATCGTGGCCTCCTTGGATCCGGAGAGTCTCCAAGCTAAAGATCCACTGCAATGGGTTCGGGGGCTCGCGGATACTGCCGTGCGAGGACATCTTGAAGGAGTAGAACTTTGCCTAGCGTCCCTCAAGCCTGCTACTCGTGCCAAGTTACTAGTTCCTGAGTGTCGGGTACTTCATCTTTCGCAGTGGGGAGTGTCACGCAAACAGCGCACACGCGTTGCAACGTGTCCACAAGCACTTGGCAGACCTCTCCGGCGCACTCGCGCTCTCTCACGCACAATCTCAGGGCAAGCTTTTGGCGAGCTAGTGGCCTCGTGCATGCACTCGTCACGCAGGAAGAGGTACGCCAAAGCTGCCACGCAGGTCACCACGCGGGCTGTCAACAGCTCGTCTTTCGCCTTGGCATGAACTCTGCCACTCCGTCCGCCCGACAACTGCCCTAACACCGCCTCGCTTGGCAGCAGCTGCCTCCCTCGGCAGCGAACTAGTTTGCCACTGACCTAACACCGCCTCGTTCGGCGGCAGCTGCCTCCTTCGGCAGTGAACTAGTTTGCCCGACAACTGACCTAACAACTCCTCGTTCGGCAGCAGATGCCTCCTTCGGCATTGAACTAGTTTGCCCGACAACTGACCTAACACCGCCTCGTTCGGCAGCAGCTGCCTCCTTCGGCAGTGAACTAGTTTGCCCGACAACTGACCTAACACCGCCTCGTTCGGCAGCAGCTGCCTCCTTCGGCAGTGAACTAGTTTGCTCGACAACTGACCTAACACCGCCTCGTTCGGCAGCAGCTGCCTCCTTCGGCAGTGAACTAGTTTGCCCGACAACTGACCTAACACCGCCTCGTTCGGCAGCAGCTGCCTCCTTCGGAAGTGAACTAAGCTTGCAAGCAAGTTTCAATGTGTGCAGGGAGCGGCCGAAGCAAGAGCGGCTTAGAAGATGTGAGAAAGCCATCCACCAAGCACTGGTCAAGCAGTTGGCGAATCTTACGGATGTCCACTGTGCTCATCAAAGAGCATTTCTCGGTGAATGCAAAGAACTTGGGGTGGATGACTACTGGCTGCGTTGCGTGCTCCTTCCCTGAAGTGATTGTAACACCTGCGATGTCTCCGCAAAATTCAGCATATGCAACTTCCCCGGAGTACGGGATCTGCTTTTCCAGCCATGTCGCAAAGGCATCCCGCTGCCTCTGGGTTGGCAGGTCATGGCTCAAGTACTGCGTTGCCCCGCCGTGATCCGTCAGGGTTGGAGGCACGCAACAAGGTCAACCTGCCTGCAAAGGCCGCAATGATGTCGTTCAACCAGCGGTCGCGCTCCTTGGCCGCGTCAGACGCGACAGCCTCTGCCTCCTCCAGAGCAGCGCTGCTGCCAGCGTCAACCTCAGCCTCGCCCGTCTCCTCCTTGACTTCCAGCTCCGCTCTCTTCTTGAGGTCTTTGAGGGACCACATCGCTACTTTGCAGAAGGTTCCTACGCCGTTGAGCCAGAATCTTGCGCTGAATTGATTTGGGGTGGTCCGCCACCCCGAATCACTGCAATCTTCCCCCCCCCCCAAACCCCGCCCCGGGAATCCCCAGGAAACAAGCAACGCTGATGGCGCTCAAATTGATTCAGGGTGGCGATCGAAATCTCTCTGACTCCCTGCTTTGATTCGGGGTGGTTGACTTGGAGGGCTTTCGGCTGAAACATCTCCATCTTTGTGGGGGGCAGGCGCTCCCTCTCTAAAAGCCACATTGATTTTTTGAGGGCCTGTTAGAGAGGAGCCGGCAACAAACGCGAGAGGGGCGCGCTCGGCTCTAAGGATTTCAGCTGAAACCTCTCCATCTCACACGCTCAAAATCTGGACCCCAGATGGAGAGTTTTTTCCCATCACACGCTGTCCTGGTCCCACTGCTTCAACACTGCCTTTGCAATGGCTGTGCAAAGATCAGGCGGGTAGTACTGCGCCCACTTCGAGCGACTTTCGCCTCCCTCGCTGCCTTGCATTTGCTCACGCACATGGTCACCGCTGGCAGTTTGTCGCCACGATTGTTCGCTTCTGTACAGCGACCTTGTTAACTTTGGTCGCCAGCCCAAAACAACACTGATCGAATTCAGGAAGTTGACCACAAGGGCAAGAAAGCGCGCGATGTCAGGGACGGGCATGTCAGGCTGCCCGGGAGACTTTAAGATCAAGTTCTCGTACTGCTTGGTTCTCTCTTTCTTCTCAACCGTCTTCTTCTTCTGCGTCGGCTGCTTCTTCTGGGATCCGCTTGCCTCCAGGATGTTGTTGTTTGCTGGCCGCGAGGTTTTGGCGGCAGAGCCCGCAGACCCACAAGCCCGAGCTGCAGACCCGGAACCGGACCCAAAAACAAGCCCAAAAACGCACCCGCCAGAAGCCACAGGTGATGCTCATCACTTTCCTTTTCACGCACCCCAAGCCACATCCTCAACATGCACAGGGTCGGCGGCGCGTTGCGGCAGCCCTAGAGCCTTGCTCCAGATTTAAGGGCTTACGCCTGACAGCCGGGCGCCGGTAGACAAAACGCATGGGACAACGCAGGGTCTGCCAGCAAGTTCGAAGCACCTTCCAGAAACGCCGTTTTCATGATTTCCGCAACCACACGGCCTTGAATCCATACAAAACCATCAAAATCCATACAAAACCATCAAAAACACTTGGTTTTTCTACTTGTTCACCAAAAACCCTGCCAGAAATCGGGCTCGGCCGGGGAGAGTTGCAGGTTTCCACATTTTCCACGTTTGCGCCCGGGACCGTTGAGGCCTGCCTGCTAGGAAGGTTTCTCTATTTTCCACGTTTGCGCAAAAACAAACATTGTGTTTTCGCAAAATTGGCCCGACTTAGGGACAACATCCCCCGCATCACCGGCATTATCCGCATCAATGTCCGCCATGGATGCGCATGATGCGCGTTTCGGAGACCCGGACTGGGTTTCCGTGGATATGGCGGAGGGCCTCACCAAAGCAGAAGCTGCGGACCCCCACAATCCGACTTATGCCCGGGACCGTTGCGCAACTTTGATTTTGAAGCGTTTTGAGGAGGAAGCGTACCTTATTCACGCTGCCCTTAACAATCCTTTCAGCCCCCCCCCCCCCGAAAATGCAGCGTCCAAACAATAAACCCAGGGTACACAAAAACAGCGTACGCAAGCAAGAAGCTAACCACGGCAACTTTCGTGGCGCACGCTTGCGCGCCGTTTAAGAACTGAGCCAGCTCCAGTTCTGAGTTTGTCAGGTTGCTACGAAACGAATATGCCAAAGCTTGATAAGTGTTTTTCTTTTTCCTTTTTTGCAAAGCCTTCTCCAACGTTCTACAAACTTTGCAAAGGTTCATCTTGCGACGGCACCCCAACGAGCCAAAAGCTTGGGGCTATGCAACTTGGAGAGCGAGCCTCAGACCCAGCTGCGAAAACGCCCACTGCCTGGCCCGAAGAGAGGCCCGGGCCCGCCCTTTCCCTGAGGGAACGTGTTGTGCGCGGCCCGCTCACCTTACCTAAGCCAGCCGCGCGAGATCTTGGAGGATTTGGATGCGACTTGGCCGTGTCGCTGAGCAAATGCTGTGCTCGCTTGTTCAAGGCGCTTGCGAGTTATTGAAGGGACACGCTTCTTCATTTGTGGGGCGGGTGGCTTGCGGGTTCACCATGGTCAACTTGTTGCCTGCGTTCACTCAACGCCAGCTGTTTTCCAAGGTGGGCGTCCGAAGCAAGCTGTCTATTCAGTTTGCATGAACAAGGCAAGGGGCTTTCGAGTTACTCCAGATTTCAACATGCTAGTTTCCTCAAGGCTCAAGGAAGCAGGGCAAGGCAATCTTTGCTCAACCGCGACAACTTTACCAGATAGTTCAGATATCTGAGTTCAGGTGCTGCCTCCTGCTCCTCCATAGCAAGAAGCAGATGATAGGTATGAGTCGCAGCTGCTGTGGGGTTGGCGTGCTCCTCAAAACGTCTTCATCGACCCTCAACTTTTTGGTGTATTTCTGAGTCCATAGTTATGAAAAGTTTAACCGTTGGTGATGGAGTTGCGAAGTGTGGCGTCAATCTTGCACTCGTCCAACGTGAAGGAGCCGATCACGCCTTGGTGTTCGGGAGTCGGTAGAGGGACCGGACTCTCAATATTGTAGTGTGTGCAAATGCACAGCTTGTCGCAAGAGAGATGGAGACGAAGTATTCCTTGACCAATTTGGACGCAGCGTGTGTCAGAAAAAAAGAGGCGCACTTGCTTGCGCTTTGATGTGAGCACCAACCCACGTTCCACGCTCAAACGTTTGCTCAAACTTCCAAACTGGGCCTTGAAATTGCAAGCCGCGCTTGGTGACTCGCTTGAAGGTGATCAAACGTTTTGTTAGTAGCTTTGGACGTGCCGGGCCATTGAAGCAGTTGCGACACGCAAAATGTTTGGTCAGCTTGCAGCTGTTCAGTCAGTCGGAGGGCATTATGATGCTTGTCAAAGTCTGCAGAATCGGACTGAATGTGTTCGCAAGAGCTTGAGCGCTGTTGGTCCAAACAGCTTATGGCGTGTTTCGCTTACATCCAACCGGGCGAGTCAGTAAGCGCAGAATTTAGAATTTTTGTTTTTGCTTTTTTTTGACACATAGGCGTTCTTTGGTGTGGCGCCCTGGAAGTTGTGTTGGAAGCGAGCCAAGCTCAAGCCATGGCCAGTTGAAACTTGAAACCCAGGGTCAATTGACGGCTGCCCTCGCACACTTTGTTCGTGACAGGATTCTCAGTGGCGATTGGCCACTGGTGCACGACCGTCAAGTGCAGAGAGTCGGCCGGTGAAGAAATAATACGTTTCAGGTTTGCGACAGCTGCGCGGCGCTGAGTGTTGAAACTAACTACCTCGGTTTCGTGGGGTAGCGAGCATCTTGACAACCTGTTTGCCCTCGAACTGCTGAGTCGCGTCGGAGAAGTGGCTTTTTGAATGGTTTTTGGAGCAAGTTCTTTTTTGAAAATAATCTTGGAAGTCCTGCCAAAACCTAGTCAACCGAAGCCAGGCTCGCACTGTCCGTTCCTAGACGGTAATTTGCCTCTGACCCGTGCCGGGGGCTGAGCGGCGGTGTCTCCTCACTTGATTTCAGAACGGTCCGGGTAGTCGCATCTATGGTTGAGGTCTCACCAGACCTGGGGAGCTTCACTTTGTCCTCCTGGTCAGACTCCTGCGCCCGGAAGCGCAGGGGCTGGGTTGCGGGAAATGGTGAGTTGCCTTTTAATTTCCACTGCGGCGCCGATCACGAGGGGAAGCCGATTTCATTCGGCGTAGATCTGGCAAACGACCCCAAACGGTGTAAAGAAGGGTGTCCTAATGGTGTGCTGCGCATCCCCAACATCGACCACGCATCACCGGCCACGCCGCAGAGTCCAAACAGGAAATGTCGACCTCAAAAACAAGGTTGTCGTGCGCAGCTAGACACCGTTCCCAAAAGTCGCCGCGCTGTGCATTCATGGCTCCCCTTCACCTTGCTGCGACAGCATTCCTGCGCGCTGGAACCACAACGAACTTATCATTGGGACAGCCACAGACTAGTTGGCTTGTTTGGCTCAAATGCCAACATCGCAGAAGTGTCCCCGCAGCTTGGCTGAGGTTTTGGAGTTCTTCCAGGGCTTTCTGGCCGAGCAGTGAGGTAGTGAGGGGCGATGCGCGTCAGGCTGGGAATTCTCCGGCGCCCTGCCATCCCTCTACATCCTGGCTGTTTCTTCCTTTGTTTGACAAATGCTGCCTCCAAAAGAGTCACCCCAACAGAGCTGTTTACAATCTGAGGGTCAGGGTGTGCCAAGCGCCTGCGCGTTACTGAAAAGGCCATGTGGTGTTCAGTGTGTGCGGCGACGCTGGCACACATCCCAGAGATCCTTACATGTTTACTTTGCACATATATTGATATGCATCTCTACTCCTGCGCGTGAAGTCAGATGAGTGTCATTTCGCTGTTTTGGAAGGTTACGCGTTCGCGTTGCAGTGCCATTGCGATTTTCGCTTCGGGGGCGGTCGTTTTGAGGCGTCTTGCTTGGCAGGCGCGTGATACCGTTTGCGCGGGCGTCATCTTCGTTGGCCTGGTCGTGTAATCGGGCGAGGTTGAAATGTGCCAAAACTGTCGAAATCGTTGTGGCGCCACAGTCCTGTGCTAGTTTCGGGTGCGTGTTGTAAGCGTGTCAAAGTGGACTTCGTGACAGGCGCAGCACTTTGGAGCTATTTGTGTAAATTTCGTCGTTCGCGCTTGGGCGCCGATTACGTGGCAGGCGCAAGACTTTGGGTAAGTCGAATCTCTCGCTGTGGAGCAGTGCCCGTTTGGATAACACAAAGTGAACCCCCTGCGCACCTTGGGCTCTAGCTGTGGCCTGGTGTGCATTTGAGAGCGCCAGGTGAACCCTGTGCGCAGCTTGGTTGCACGGTGCGCGTTTTGAGCGTGCAAAGTGAACCTGCTGCGCACTTTGGGCGGGTCGCTCTCGCGGCGCAGTTCGCATTTTGAGAGAAGAGACGTGGCGGGAGAAGTGATGGGAGACGTTCCTCAGAAGCGTCGCTCAGAAGCGTGGATTGGAAGTTTCGGTTGGAAGTGTCAACCAGAAGTGTTGCTCAGAAGCACCGCTTACATGAGTGTCGCTTGCTGTGTTGCTCAGAGAAGTGTCACGTATGTGTAGACGCGTCGCTTGGACGCGCCGCGAAGTGCTTATTAGATGCGTAGATCAGGAGCGTTGATCCGAGGTGTGCCCCAAAGCGTCGAATAGAAGTGTCGATCAGAAGTGTGGCTCATCGATCAATCAGATCGTTTCTCAGAAGTGTGCACCGATCGGAAGTGTCAATTAGAAGCATAAACCAGACGCGTTGCTCGAAACCGTCGCTTACATGTGTGGGTGTTCTCAGAAGCGTCGATCAGCAGTGACGTGTCGGCCTGTGTGTTTGTGTGTTTGTGTAAAACGCGTTGCTTGACGTGTTGCCCAGAAGTGTCTTACACGAGTGCAGAACTGTCACTCGCAAGTATCGATCAGAAGTGTCGATCAGAGCTGTTGTTTAGAAGTGTTGCTCAGAAGTGTAGCCTAGAACTGTCGATCCAATCAGAACTGATTCATGCTTCCGGCTATCCGGGGTCTTTCTTTGCATCTAGGATTTTGCTCTGTCAACAGAAATATCCTCGCTGCGATTTTCACGGTGGGAGAAGTTTGAAGAGTACAATTTTGTGGGGAATGGCACAACTGGTTCCGATTATCGTGTCATTTATCCGAAGTTGTGATAAACCAACTGGTTTTGCCCAAGCATCCTTCTGGGCCGCGCTGTTTAAGTCAGGTTGTTTTTTCTCGCCTTATTTTTCGGTGTGCCCGGACCATGTGTGCGACCGACCAACGCGTTGCAGGATGATTTTTATTCCTATGTTTGCTTGCACGGTCCCCCGTCATCCTTGGGTCCTTCCACGGCTAAGTTCATAGAAGGCTTGGCTCCAGCAGGGGACAATGTGGCGCTGGGCATTATGCAGCGGCAGAACTGGCAGACCACCACAGCAGACAAGTGGATTGGCTAGGCGCCGCATCGCAGCAACAAGAAGACTTGCTCCGGCCCGGGGCGGTGGAGCTTCTTGGCGCGCATAAAATGCAGCATTTTGATGCGCAAGCTCTTTGCACACATGCTTCCATGTCTCAAATGTATGATGCCCCCATGTGGGCTACCTGTCCGCCTTGCCGTGCAATTTATGAGGCGGTGGTCCGCCAAGCGTGTTGCGGCGCATTTTTCCCGAAGTAATTTGCCACTTGCGCCGCAGACTTGACATTGACACGTTGGTGTCCCAAGGCAACCGTGCAAGGCATCGCCGAGCCGGCGTGCAGCTCGTGAAGACCTACGATGACTTGCAAGTGTTTCAGTGCCTGCGTGAGTTTCAAGGGAAGCTGTTGCGGTGGAAGCATGCTTTGCCGGCGCACGGGTCTACCAGTTGGCACTCGCGGGGAGCCAGATCTGCTTTACTTCCGCCAGCGGCGAGGTGTGCTTTAAGATGCGCTGCTCTGGTGTTGTGCTGAACCTGCTCCTCCGAGGAAAGCCGGTGCGACGAAAGGAGATGTCCGCTTCTATTTGTTTTTGGAGATCAAAAACTCGGGCCAGATCGGTGGCGCCTCTTGGCAACTGATCTTTTCAAGCCTTCTGCGAGGCTCCGCGTGAAGTTGTCTGTGGTGTTCCGGGGTGGTGGTTTACTCTATTATAAATATATATGCGAAGTCAGGCGTGCCGTCTGCAGACTTTGGCCATCTTCGTCGCAGGACGTAACGCGCGCCATGGCCGATGTCTGCCTCGCAGTCATCGCGCTGCTTGGCGCGGCAGCTGGCTGTGTCGTCTGCGTCTACATACGTTAAACTGCAGCGCTTGGCGGAGGGCAAAGCGGACGCTAAGCGGCCCACTGGTGCTTTCAAAAGGAAAGCAGTCCAAGCGCTTGCTGGCGCAAGCACCTGCTACTGTAAAGATGAGTGCGCGGCAGTAGACGGACACAGGATAAAGTTCTGGGTGGCAGACGCGCCCAAGCTGCTGAATCACGTGGTGCAAAGTTCCGACGGCTACCGCGAGACCTTCGCTTGCGTGGGCGCTAGGAAAAAGCTTAGTGATCAATGCAGATGAAGCGACAGCTGGCAACGTGTTGGCCACTTGTCAGCAGAAACAGGCGATGATGATATACGCTGCGGCTGAGAGAAGCGCATAGCCTGACGAGCGTGAGCGCTTGGCTGCCAGTGTCTTGCATCCCACACGATGACATGTCCAACGTTGATGGAGGCTTTTGCACGTCGCTCGGACAAGCAGCTTTCCTACCACGATTGCTGGGCACGAACGTCTTGTGCAGATATCTTTGTGGCACGAGTCGACTCAGGAATTGCCGAGCTGGATGTACACTTCTAGTGCGCAGATGCGCGGAAGTTCCAGGCAGTTTGCCCATGCGAGCTTGAGATGATGTACGACACTTTCTTGCAGGGGTGGCTGGAGTAAGGAAGCTCGAAAGGAAAGAGCTGCACAAATGGCGTTCTGGCCTGCCCTAGTGCACGAGCGGTTTTCTCTGTGGACAAGATCTGTGTAGACAGCGCGCGCTGCTACTCCTCCAGCGGCATTGCGTCGGAGGAGATGTTGCTACAGAAGGCAGTAGAGCTCAAAGCGGGCGTGGGGCTCCAAGGTGTTGGGCGGTCAGTGGCAGAAGTGAAGTGGCAGCGCAGTGACGCGCAGTTCTCTTCTCCGTGCTGACGGAAATGGTGCTCCCACGCTCCGTTTTGGGAAGGGGCATTCTATAAGGGCTCTGCGAGCCAGGTGTGGATTCTCCTACGCTTGGCAGCTAGGACGAGATGTCTTACTGGCAGAACTGGCATCCTTCGGTGCCCTCATGGATGTGACTACACCCTGCGTTAATTCTTTTGTGTGTGAACTTGACGATTCGAAGTAGCCGACATGCAACTCAGGTCCTTCTGCAGCTGCGCGACCTTCGGCGCGGATGGGGTTCTTTGAGCCTTTTGCAGATGTTGTCCGCCTTGCGTCAAGAACTGTTTGTGAAAGCATACGGGCAGGAAGCCGTGCGCCCCAAGCATCATCTACGCCTGCATTTACCTAAGTGGTACGAGCGGGGCTGTGTGGACTGCTGGCCAACAGAAGCCAGACACAAGCTGCACAAGCACAGGCTTACACATGACCTCCAACAGCAGTTTGCATGTGGCGCCGGGAAATTCTCTAAGAGCGTGCTGACGAGAATTTTGAAATATTGTCGCAGAGAGCGACATCCGTTGGAAGCCACAGCGCTTTCTGGAGATGTGTTTGCTGCAGCGGAAGTCGAAAAGCATGCAGGGGTCCGAGCGCGGCTTTAAGCAGCTTGGAACTTCGTGCTGGAGAGATCCTTTTCTGGGTCAAGAAGTGGGCTTGCTCCAATTAATTTGCTAGATGCAGAAGACATATTTTGGGCAGTGGCGCTTTCCCTGCGTGAGCTGCCGCGCGAAGCGCCGCACGCACGACGTCTGCGCCGCACGAAGGAACAACGGGTGTTGAATAAGTCTAGCGTGGCCAAAGTTCGTTGGCCCACTTGGTGGCATGAAGATGAGCATGGGCGCTCCTTGCTCTACTGTGAATATAGCACCTGCGGTGGCGAGTAAACATGCTTGCGTGCCTGCAGCCTTGGAAGAGCGCGCGCAATCAAACTGCGAATCTGTGGCATGCATTGAGCGGTGATTCGGTGGTCCGCTACATATGGCGGTGGTCCGCCTATTCGTGGCGGTGGTCCGCTACAGGTGGCGGTGGTCCGCCTCAGATGGCGTTGGTCTGCCATGTCTCCCCCCACCCCTGGAACAGTCAAAGCAGTCCTGGGGATCCTGAATACGGATTTGGCGGGGGGCTTGGGTGACTTGAGTATTGCTTTGGTATTGCCGCTACTTAGTTTAGTATTGCCAGCACTTCCTTTTGGATTGCCAGCGCTTCCTGTTGGGTTGCCACTACTTAGTTTAGTATTCCAGCACTTCCTTTTGGGCTGCCACTACTTGGTTTAGTATTGCCAGCACTTCCTTTTGGGTTGCCACCCTAAGACTGGACATTAAACATGGTACCCAGACAGTGCCCCTTAAAGAGGATCAGGCCCCCTTGTGGGCAACCGCCTCTGCAGGACTGTTTGGGGATTGTTTTTGGATTTAAGTAAAGAATTTGATGGTTGGGGCTTGGGTCAAATCAGGAATTCTTAGGCTCAGGTCTTGGCCTGGTCCCTTGCCAAGCTTTTAGATTTGGAGC